TCTGTGGTGCTGTCCCTGGCCGTTCTCAGTGCTCCCTCACTTGGCTCTGTGGTGCTGTCCCTGGCCGTTCTCAGTACTCCCTCACTTGGCTCTGTGGTGCTGTCCCTGGCCGTTCTCAGTACTCCCTCACTTGGCTCTGTGGTGCTGTCCCTGGCCGTTCTCCCTCACGGAGACCTGAGAGCTGCAGTCTCACAGCTGACCAGCATCCCAGTAACCATGTCTCCTGTTTTGGGTCAGAGGAGCTTACTTTTCTGTTTTGCCTTATTAAGTTTCTTTGTGTGTGTAGGTGTGTGTGTTTTCGCGTGTACAGATACATGTGCATGTGTGTGTGCATGTGGAGGCCAGGGGGTGACGATGTTAGGGTCTTCCTCAATTTTTCTCCACATTTATTTATTTGTTTATTTTTAATTTAATTTTTTTTGTTTTGGTTTTTCGAGACAGGGTTTCTCTCTGTAGCTTTGGCGCCTGTCCTGGAACTCACTCTGTAGACCAGACTGACCTCAAACTCACAGAGATCCACCTGCCTCTGCCTCCCGAGTGCTGGGATTAAAGGCTTGTGGCACCATGCCTTTAAAGTTTTTTTTTTTAGAGATTTATCTTTAAATAATTTTAAAAATATTTAAAGGTTTATTTATTTATTTATTTATTTATTTATTTATTTATTTATTTATTTATTTATTTATTTATTATGTATACAGTATTCTGCCTGCATGTGTCCATGCAGGCCAGAAGAGGGCGCCAGATCTCATTACTAGTGGTTGTGAGCCACCATGTGGTTGCTGGGAATTGAACTCAGGACCTCCGGAAGAGCAGTTGGTGTTTTTAACCACTGAGCCATCTCTCCAGCCCCTAAAAATATTTTTTATTTTTAGAGATTTTTTTTTATTTTATGTGACGAGTGTTCTGCCTGTATTACGTATGTATACATATATGTATGTGTATGTATGCATGTATGTACACCATCACTAAGGTTAGTATCAGCCAGGTATGGTGGTACCCTGTAATCTTAGCAACCTGGAGAATATAGAAAGATCTCAAGTTCAAGACCAGGCTGTGCTCCAGAGTGAGACTTAGTTTCGAAAAATCAAAAGCAGGATGGATTGTGGTGATACACCGATATCCCAGCACCCAGCAGGTTGAGGCAGGAGGATTGCCACACAAAGGCGGTAATCTATGGCTACACAGTACAATCCTGTCTCAAGAAAGCAAAGACTGAGCAGGAGGCCCAAGAAGGTGGAATCCTATGGTGGATTCCAGGGTGGCCTCAAACTTGGGATGCTTCTGCCTCAGTGTCCAGAGGACTGACATGAAATCCTCCTTTCTGGGTCTGGGAAGAGGATTCAGTAGCTAAGAGCACTTGCAGCTCTTGCAGAGGGCCCAGTTTGGGTGACTCCTGACCGTCTGCAACTCCAGATCCAGAGGCTTCAATGTCCTCTTTAGGCCTCTGTAGGCACCTGCACACATGCGCATATCCACACAAGACACATATAATTTTTAATTATTTTAAAACCTTTCTTTATGGGGTTGAGGAGACAGCTCAGTGGGATAAGTCTTCGGGGTGGAAGTGTGAGGACCCAGGTTCAGATCGTCAGAACACATACAAAGCCAGTGTGGTAGAGCACATCTGTAATTCCAGGGCTCCTACAGTGGGATGGGAGAGAAGCAGGAGAATTCCCAGAGGGCTTTACACCAGCCAGCCTGGCACACACAGCCACAGGCACGAGACCGTGCTTCAAAGGGGAGAAGGTGAGCACTGACACCTAGGCTTGTTCCCTGACCTCCACACTCGTGCCCCAGTGTGCCACATGCACACCCACACTGCTTTGTGATACACACCAAAACATTTCCAGGCAAGACCTTTTGGAGGTTGCTGTCCACAATTAAAGAAGTCTCAAAAGAACCAAAGCCTTGGCCTCTGATGGACTGGTTAGCCTCTTCAGAGAGCCTTGCGGGAATGGAGTTGGAGGAGAAGTGGCTAGGGTTGGAATCTAGGGTGGGGAGGGAGGGTCCTCAGCAGCCCAGCTGAGGGTCCTGCAATGTTAACACCCCCCACCACCTTCCTCCCTCCTCCTGCTTTTGTGAACATATCACCCTCAAGTCAACACCCTCTACATGTGGCTTCAGTTACCCAAGCAAGGGAGTGGCAGTCACAACAGTCCTTTCTTATTTTATCTATCCTTGAATGTGTGTTGGTCTCTGTGTATCTATGTACACATGGAGGCAGCCACCCTCAGAGTCCAGAAGAAGGCACTGGGTGCTCTGGAGCTGGGGTTCCAGGGGGTTGTGAGCTGCCTGACAAGGCTGCTGGGAACTGAACTTGGGTTTTCTGAAGAGCTGTGAGCCGTCTCTCCAGCCCCAACAACAGTGTTTTTATTCCATTTTAGTGAGGTTTACTATTGCTATGATGAAACATCAAGACCAAAGCAACTTG